GAAGAAGAAGAAGAAGAAGAAGAAGAAGAAGAAGAAAGGAAGTAATGAACGCCGTATTCCGTATTTCCACGAAACCACTTCAGTGATGGATTTTTTGATGTAATTTTCTCGCTTGTAGGACAAGGTCAGGTCCGTGAACATGAAGAAATTAAGGATTTTTCGACGATGCTTTGCGCAACCTATGTTATTCCAAGGGAATTATTTCGCTTAGTGGTCTGGATAAACAAACAGCGGATCGACCAGGACTGCTTGCACCGCAACAACGCGTGAAATATTCAACTACGTAAGTAGTAATAGAAAACCTACATATCCTTGACGTTTGAGTGACGAACGTAGGTCTGGGAAGGTTGTCAATAATTTTGCCAAAGGCTTATTATTTTTATTTAGTTCGTGTGGCAAATTTTGAACGATCCCATTAAATTTGGAGTTAGTAGTAGTTCTCAGCTTTCAGTAGCCTTCAGACAGAACCTATCTTGGATTGGACTTAGAACTCCATCCATGCCTTTCCTGTCCTCTGAGGAAATTCTCCCTCATGTCTTAGTTACATTTCCCCTGTCTCATATGAGTTAAATAGTCTGCCGGCTATTTATAAATTCTCACTTTTTATTGCTTTACATCGAAAAAAACTATTTATTCATGGGGTGCTCTGCGAGCTGTCATAGCCTCCGTGAATGAACTCCCATAAAGTGTTCGTTTTCCTATATTTGCTTGTTTTATATTGACACACTATTCGAATTCATCACTTATATCCACCAGCTCCCTGAGTGTTTTCTGCCGGTCCAATAAATTCAAACTATGAAACAAATCTGCAATCCGTTGATGCAAAGTCATTTGGATGCTACTACAATGGCAGTCCATAATGCACGAGATCGTCCGCTGCCAGCTCGCCAAGTCTTTCCGCCTCTGGTTATACGTCATAGCCGTTGGTTGATTTTTGTACGTTAATTTAAACAGGTTATAGTAAAAATCTCGAGATAGCCCATTAAGAGTGCAACAGGCCGGATACGAACTGGTAATTAACGTTCCTTACCGATCATCCGTACTTCATAGCCTTAGGACTGTTTATGGTTTTATCGGAGTTCGTCAGTAGTCCTCATGCTTACCAGCACAGAGTCGCTAAGGCCCATTTTGGCTTATAACTTCACGATACTGTATACTGTTAAATTAGCATTTACCTGCTACTCAGTCGGTTTTTTGCTGTCATGTACAACCTGCTTTTCGTCACAGGTTAGGATTTTCTAAGAGACCTATGACCTTATGTTGCTGTCAATGCGTGGGTCGCAGTTTCTGACCACTCATCAATTCGTGTGACAGTCAGTTGAACAGGCATTGGACCTTTCCCGGTACAACCGTGCGCAAGAAAACCGCACCCAAAGAAAATTCCATTATTTCTGGAAAAGTCCCAAGTTTTCATTGTGGGCAAACTTCTTCCATGATGCCTAATTGCTCATTTAAGGTTTTTAAATATAGATATTGGAATCGTTCTTTTGGTTCGGTGCAGTACTGATGTTTACCGTTTGGATATTTTGCAGCGCCTTGCATTTTTTGTCTTCGGCTAAGTTGTAAACCAATGTGAACTCGTGTTGAGGCACCAGCTTTTATCTCACTCAGTATATCATCATTGGTGAAGTAGTGAAAATGATTTTCCCAAGTGGCAAGACAAAGGAAAGAGGAGTCTTCTCCGAGATATGTTTATTGTGCGTCTAACATTTCAGGTAGTTGTTTAGTCTGCCCATCTTCAGAAACTGAACATAGGGAACACTGCCCTCTGAAAGCAGACTGTCAGTCCTCGATCTATTTCCCCTTTCCTACAGACAACTTCGAGGGGACCTCATATTTACCTTCCGTATTATTAATAACCTGGATTGTTGTTTCATTCCCGACGATTTCTTTGCCCAAGCTAATATGTCAACCTTGCGCGGGCATCCCCTTAAACTACATCCCAGCAAAGCAAGGATCGACGGACGAAAGTTCTTCTTTAGCAACAGAGTAGCTGCAGCGTAAAACGTCCTTCCGGTAGAGGTTTTCCTCTCCAATTGTGTTAATTCATTTAAGAGTAGACTGGAAATGCATCAAGCACACACTCACATACAAACCATGTAAAACAACTATAATACATTGAACTACTCGTGATTAGCGAGGAGTCATATTTTTGTTACTATTTCGACTACCTAACATCTGTGATGTCTTCCCGGAAAATGTAATTGTCGTACTTTTTACATTTTTCTTGGTATCCATTTACTTCCTATCATCTTGTTACCAATAGAGAGTTCAAAAGGCGTTCGCCTATCTTTCCCTCAATAAACTGATACTGATTCAAGCTCACAGCTGTCATTATACGCCGCTCCTTGGCGTGTGTGTAACCTGCAAATACTGGTTGTGCTGCTGCGTCTGAACCGCATCTCACTGTCATATGTGGCGCCGTGCCGCCACCAGTCCTTTGGCCGTCTGTGGGGCCGCGTCTCAAACAAATATAACAATAGATAACATATTGAAACATGTT